CAAAATCCAAAACACTGAGATAATACAAATTATCTTCTCTGATCACAACACCATCAAAGTAGAAATTAACAACAGGAAGAGCAAGGAAAAAAAATCAATTACATGGAACCTAAATAACACCCTGCTTAAAAACCACTGGGTAATAGAAGAAATCAAAGATTGAATAAAAAATTCCTAGAATCAAATGAGAATGAAAATACATCATACCAAAACCTTTGGGACACAGCAAAGGCAGTACTCAAGAGCTCAATTTATAGTAATAGATGCACACATCAAAAAGGAAGAAAGGGACAAAATCAAAACATCAGCTACACAACATGAACAAAAAGAAAGAGAACAGCAAAAGAAGCCTACAGCCACCAAAAGAAAGGCAATAATAAAGATCTGAGCAGAAATAAATGAAATAGAGAACAGAAAAACAATAGAAAGAATCAACAAAATCAATAGTTGGTTCTTGAAAAGGATCAACAAAATTGACAAACCACTAGCCAAACTGACAAAAGAAAAACAGGAGAGGATGCAAATCACCCAAATAAGAAACGAAATGGGGGACATTGCTACAGACCCAACTGAAATAAAAAGGATCATAACAGAGTATTATGAAAAACTATACTCCAACAAATTTGAAAATCTAGACGAAATGGACAAATTTCTAGAAAAACACTACCTACCCAAACTTATCACAAATTGATGTTGAAAATCTGAACAGACCCATAACGAGAGAAGAGACTGAAAAGGTAATTAAAAAAACTCCCAACAAAAAAAAGCTCTGGCCCAGATGGCTTCACTGGAGAATTCTACCAAACATCCAGAGAAGTACTTACACCAGTACTACTCAAACTATTTCAGAACATAGAAAAGGAAGGGATACTTCTAAATTCATTCTATGGAGCCAGCATAACCCTGATAACAAAACCAGGCAAAGACACCACAAAAAAAGAAAATTACAGACCAATACCTCTCATGAATATAGATGCAAAAATCCTCAAAAAAATTCTAGCCAATAGAATTCATCATCATATCAAAAAAATAATACACCACGACCAAGTAGGATTCATACTAGGTATGCAAGGATGATTTTCAATATTAGAAAATCAATCAACATAATCCACTACATAAATAAAAGAATCATATGATCATCTCAATCAACATATAAAAGGCATTCGACAAAGTCCAACACCCATGCCTGATAAAAACTCTCAGTAAAATAGGTATAGAAGGGACATTACTCAACATAATAAAGGGCATCTATACAAAACCAACAGCCAACATCATTCTTACTGCAGAGAGGCTGAAAACATTCCCCTTGAGAGCAGGAACAAGACAAGGATGTCTTTTATCACTATTCCTATTTACGATTGTGCTGGAAGTCCTAGCTAGAGCATTAAGGCAAGAAAAAGAAATAAAGGGCACCCATATTAGTAATGAAGAAGTAAAACTGTCCCTATTTGCAGATGATATGATAGTATATATAGAAAACCCAAAAGACTCCACAAGAAAACTACTGGAACTAATAGAAAGATTCAGCAGAGTAGCAGGATACAAGGTAAACATACAAAAATCTGTTGGATTCCTATACACTAAAAAAGAGGACGAAAAGGAAATCAGAAAAACAATACCATTTATAATAGCCTCTAAAAAAATTAAATACTTAGGAATAAATCTAACCATGGATGTAGAAGACCTATACAAAGAGAACTACAAAACACTACTGCAAGAAACCAAAGGAGATCAACATAAATGGAAAAACATACCATGCTCATGGATTGGTAGACTCAACATTGTGAAAAAGACAATTCTACCCAAAGCAATCTACAAATACAATGCAATCCCAATCCAAATACCAGCAACATTCTTTAAAGAGACGGAAAAAACAATCATTATATGTAAAGGGAAGAGGCCCTGGATAAGTAAAGCATTATAGAAGAAGAAGAATAAAGTAGGAGGACTCGCACTAGCTGACCTCTAAACCTACTATACAGCTACAGTAGTCAAAACAGCCTGGTACTGGTACATCGACAGAGACACTGACCAATGGAACCGAATCAAGAACCCAGACGTAAATCCATCCACCTACAGTAACTTGATATTTGACAAGGGCCCAAAGTCCATCAAATGGGGAAAAGACAGTCTTTTTAACAAATGATGCTGGCAAAACAATGTCGATCTGTAAAAAAATGAAACAGGACCCATATCTCACACCATACACAAAAACTAATTCAAAATGGATCAAAGACCTAAATATAAAACAAAAAACTATAAAGATCATAGAAGAAAAAATAGGATCAATGCTAGAGACCCTAATACATGGCATTAACAGGATACAAACCATAACTAACAACATACAAACTCCAGAAAATAAGCTAGATAACTGGGATCTTCTAAAAATTAAACACTTATGCTCATCAAAAAACTTCACCAAAAGAGTAAAAAGAGAAGCTACAGGCTGGGAAAAATTTTTGGCTATGACAAATCCGACAAAGGTCTAATCTCCAAAATCTACAGGAAAATCCAACACCTCTACAACAAAAAGACAAATAATCCAATTAAAAAATAGGCAAAGGAAACGAACAGACACTTCACCAAAGAAGACATTCGAGTGGCTAACAGACACATGAGGAAATGCTGGAGATCACTAGCCATGAGAGAAATGCAAATCAAAACCACAATGAGATACCATCTCACCCTGGCATTACTGGCACGAGTCAGAAAAACCGAAAATAACAAATGTTGGAGAGGCTGCGGGGAGATCGGAACTCTAATGTACTGCTGGTGGGAATGCAAAATGGTACAACCATTTCGGAAAATGATATGGCACTTCCTTAGAAAGCTAGAAACAGACGTACCATATGATCCAGCAATCCCACTCCTAGGAATATATCCTAGAGAAATAAGAGCTGTCACATAAATAGACATATGCACACCCATGTTTGTTGCAGTATTGTTCACAATAGCAAAAAGATGGAAACAACCTAGATGCCCATCAACAGATGAATGGATAAACTATGACACATACACACAATGGAGTACTACGCAACGATAAAGAACAATGATGAATCTGCGAAGCACCTCACAATATGGATGAATCTGGAGGGCATTATGCTGAGTGAAATAAATCAATCACAAAACGATAAATATTGTATAAGAGCACTACTATAAAAACTCATGAAAACGTTTACACACAAAAACAATCTTTGATGGTTACAAGCGAGGGGAGGGCTGGAGTGGAAAAACACTGAATAGACTTTAGATAAGTGGTTAACTTTGGTGAAGAGTAAGACAGTACACACTACTGGGGAAGCCAGCACAACTTGTCCAGGGTAAGGCCATGGATGCTCCACGGACAAATCCAAACTCCGTGAGGGACTGAATTACTGGGCTGAGGGCTAGGGGGACCATGGTCTCAGGGAACATCTAGCTCAATTGGCATAACATAGTTTATCAAGAAAATGTTCTACATTCTACTATGATGAGTAGCGTCTGGGGTCTTAAAAGCCTGTAAGTGGCCATCTAAGATGCTCCACTGGTCTCACCCCTTCAGGAGCAAGGGAAAATGAAGAAAACTAAAGACACAACGGAAAGATTAATCCAAAGGACTAACAGACCACAACTACCATGGCCTCCACCAGACTGTCCAGTACAGCTAGATGGTGCCCGGCCACCACCACTGACTGCTCTGACAGGGATCACAATAGAGGGTACCTGACAGAGCTGGAGAAAAAGGTAGAACAAAATTCTAATTAAAAAAAAAAACAGATGTACTGGCCTAACAGAGACTGGAGATCCCCAAGAGTATGGCCCCCGGATACGCTTTTAGCTCAGTAATGAAGTCACTCCTGAGTTTCACCTTTTAGCCAAAGATTAGACAGGCTCATAGCACAAAACTAGACTAAAGAGGCACACCAGGCCAGAGGCAAGGACTAGAAGGCAGGAGGGGACAGGAAAGCTGGTAATAGGGAACCTAAGGTTGAGAAGGGAGAGTATTGACATGTCATGGGGTTGTTAACCAATGTCATAAAACAACATGTGTACTAAGTGTTTAACGAGAAGCTAGTTTGTTCTGTAAACCATCATCTAAAGTACAGTTAAAAAAAACAAACAAACAAACCGAAAACGACACCTAATGGAGAGCTAGCTAATTTGTTGGGTCCCCAAAATAAGATGATGAAAAGGGATAATCTAGGGCTAGGTTAAAGGGATGTGGAACTGAGTCAGGTCTAGAAGAAACTATCTAATGTGAAAGTCAAAGGGGAATAATGGAGCTGGGGGGCAGGTGGAGCACAGATCAGGAGGCAATGAGGTAGAAGATGAATGACTTGGGGTAGAAGAAACGTGCCCCTGAAGTTCAGTCAGCTGCTGAAAATGACTTCTTCACAGAAGCTGTCTCAACATCATATAATTTATACAATAAGACTACACAGACGCTTCTTGGGAAGTGAAGAACATGGTTTGGAGCCTGTGTTTTACTGAAATTGGGTTTGACACTGAATATTGACTCAAGTGGAAAAGTTAATGGCTAAAAAGGTCCAGATAAAGTACATATAGGTAGAAACCTATAATTATTAAGAAAAATTGCACTACTGGTTTCTTAGTGGCATTTTATGCTAAATAATTATTAGTTCCTTTGGAGCTCCTTCCATTATTAGAAACCAAATTTACCACTTCAAAAGAGCAGTAACTCTTCAATTAACAAGTATAGGTTAGAGTACCTGCCTGGTGTTAGAATGCATTTGGAAATCTGTGACTGATTTTCTAGGAAATTTTAAGAAGTTACCAAGAAAGTAAAGGTTACATATAATCCTGTGGGTTAAGAATGGTTACAGACTAGAAACACTGCAATATCACCTGGTGGGTAAGAAGGCTCTCGCCACCCCAAAATAACTTCCTCAAAACAATCACTATCACCACCAAAAGGTACTGTATCCAAAGTCTGATACCATTTCATAGGTTCCATATATGTACCACATAATTCCTGCTGCCCCAGAAGCTGTTTCCTCTACCTGGGTTGGAGGGGAGGTGGAAAAAGAGGTGGTACACACTTCCTGAGAGTCTTCCACAGATGGGTATGTAAGTCCAGTGTCCTCACCAGCAGTTCTATAGTGAGGGGAAAAGAAAAAGTTTTATGGTGGTAGCAATCAACTTCAGAAAGGATATAAAGGGAAGTTAGATAAGGAGGGAAACTATGACAAGAGTTGTTTCAGGCGTTAAAGTATGAGAGAATCCATGCCAAAATGGAAAAGTCAAAAATAGGAAACTGAAAATATCTCCTTGCGGAGTTCATAGTAGCAAGAGAGGCACCCTGAACCATTTCAAAACATTTTCAGGAGAGCAGCATCTAGTGGTCTGACCAAAGCTTTTTTTTAAAGCCAAATATCTTACCTGATCCATTATTTGAGAAAGATTTTTCTTGGCCAATGTTGGGGGCCAGACCAGGTCTTCAAAGAATTGTCAGTAATAGACACTCAGTGAAAGAAAGTCTAGAGCCTACAGACAAAGCTATCCAACTTCAGAAGTCCATCACACAAAGGTATATCCAACCTTCAGAAAATTGTGTTTTCTCAAATTTAGGCCTGGAGACATTTTATTCTGATGTGTAAGTGAACTGTACCAAATGGCAACCAGAAAACCATTTAATTTGCCAAAGGACATTCCACAAATAATTGCCATTCTTGTAGTCCCTAAGTAAGTTGCTACTGAGAAAAGTCTAGTAACTACCATCAACATCCAAAATATCTACAAATTTTCTGAGCCTTTCTGTATACCCAAGTCTTGGTGTACCTAACAGGCAGCAGCAAGAATGGCAGCCAGCACCTCCATTTCTCTCTACATGGGGTCTCCATCAGTACCCCCTGTCCATGCATGAGTTCTGCTGAAGGTGTTTTATCTGCCCCTGAAAGATGGATGCTTTTGCCTAGCTGCAGTTTGAAAGAGCACCTTTCACATTCCTCACCTGTAATTGCAGGGGTGCATGGGCGAGGTGCTGGGATAGGGACGGTCCACAAAGTGATCAATGATAATCCCCATGATAGGTGGGGTTCTCTCAAATTGCCTGCAATGCAATAAGCAGATTGCAATATTTGTTAGAATGCCTCTCCAGCCTCCCAAAGTCCTCAGAGGGCCACTCACTTGGTATCTGTCGGCAGGCACTACCAAAGCCTTAATTATTGAACCCCTAAATATAAACCAACAACTCTACATTCTAGACAAATTGGTTCTGGGACACTCAGATTCTCCAATCTGGCAACTGTGCTCTCTCTCTTGATTTTTATTCTTCCGAGGGGCTGAGTTCAGCAATAGCAATGCTGAATTGTAGGCTTAGTCTTGGTGTTGAGAGGTGGGGGAGGAACAGGACTTGAACATCTTTGGAAGAGTTCTTTTGGATTCCAACGTTCTTTCTCACCTGGTAGACATGAATGCCAAGTTAATTCTGTAAGCACAAGAAAGAGTGATGGTGCCCACAGGAGTGCCCACTGTCCCAACACGAACTGTTTGGAAGCCTAGGAGAAGAGATAAGTTATTAGCTTTTTTCCAAAGAACACTGGCACTGCTCCCAATCTGCCTTTCCCTGGGTCATTCAGCCTAGCGTCTAATCTCTGACACTACTTAGCACCTTGTGTGCAGCAGTCTCAATTTCTTCTCTATTTTTTCTTTCAATTTATTCTACACTGACCCAATATTGACAGGTGGAACAGCATTCTATTTCTAGATGAAACTACTTTCAAAGAGGTATAATAAATATTAGTCCTAAATTCTGAGCAACTCCTACCCAATCCTCTCTGGATATGTTACATGCCCAATGAGACAGAGAAAAGGCACTAGGGATTTGTCATACAAACACCTCAATTTATGAAGTAACTACACACCCACCCAAGCTGCCACCCCAGACTAAATATAGGGAAAAGTCAGGGCCTTTCAGAGGTTTTCTTTTCTTTTGTTTCATTTCTAATTTTTCAAAATTGTTGGTGCTAATTAGAAATATTTAACATGCTCATTGTAGAAAATTAGGAAAAGAGACAATTATATAAAGAAGGAAGAAAGTACTGAGTTGCTGGAACTTTTGGGGAAATTATTTGGTTATCTCTGTCAGCTCCTTAGACTATAAACCTGCTTTCTGATCTTTTCCTTACTTGTAGTATGCAAATTAAGATTACAAACTACATATTATTACAGATAGCAACCAAGAAGTCAGGAGAGCTCTAAATACCACAAATGTGTTTCAACTTTCATACATACCTTCTCCTAAGCCATTCAGCTGCACTTCCCCAAAATATATTCTGTAGGGAAGGAAGAAAAACAAGGGTTACCCAAATCTTTATTCTAATGGCCTCTAAAGACAAACCACTTGGAAACAAACCAACCAACAAAACAAACCCCTTTCCTCATCTTCATGAATGCCTCTCCTGATGGAGCAATAATGCTACTAACTACTTCAATTAAGCTGCAGGCATGAAGATGGATAGGGAGATAACTGGTTAAGAAATGAAGAAAATAAGAATATTCTGAAAATATAAAAATATAAACATAAGCTCCATAGACACATCCAAACTCCCTGAGGGACTGAATTGCTGGGTGGAGGGCTGTTGGGACCATGGTCTTGGGGAACATCTAGCTCAATTGGCATAACACAGTTTATAAAGACAATGCTCTACATTCTACCTTGGTGAGTAGTGTCTGGGGTCTTAAAAGCCTGTGAGCGGCCATCTAAGATACTCCACTGGTCTCATCCCTTCGGGAGCAAAGGAGAATGAAGACAACAGGATACAAGGAAAAGATTAGTCCGAAGGACTAATTGACCACAGCTACCAAGGCCTCCACCGGACTGAGTCCAGTACAGCTAGATGGTGCCCAGCTACCACCACTGACTGCTCTGAACGGGATCACAACAGAGGGTTCTGGACACAGCTGGAGAAGGATGTAGAACAAAATTCTAACTCACAAAAAAAAGACCAGATTTACTGCCCTAAAGGAGACTGGAGAAACCCCGAGAGTATGGCCCCCAAACACCCTTTTAGCTCAGTGGTGAAGTCATCTCCGAGGTTCACCATTCAGCCTGGGAGTGGACAGCCCCATAAAAACAAATGGGACTAATGAGGTACAGCAGTCCAGGGACAAGGGCCAGAAGGCAGAAGGGGACAAGGAAGCTGGTGATAGGGAACCCAAGGTTGAGTAAGGATAGGTTTGATGTGTTGTGAGGTTGTTAACCATTGTCACAGGGCAACGTGTACTAACTGTTAAATGAGAAACTATTTTGTTCTGTAAGCCTTCATCTAAAGTGAGAACAGCTGCACAACTGGAAGAGCGTAGTCGATGTCACTGAACTGTGCATGTAGAAGTTTTTGAAATGGTGTATCTTTGGCTATGTATATTTTCACCAAAAAAAAAGGTCGAGAAGGGAGAGGGTTGACATGTTGTGGGGTTGTTAACCAATGTCATAAAACAATATGTGTACTACTGTTTCATGAGAAACTTTGTTCTGTAAGCCTTCACCTGAAGTACAATTAAAAAAAAAAAAGGTTGAAAAAAAAAAATATAAACATAGCAGAACCTTCCCATGAGTCTTCCTGGGAAGGCCAGTCTATTTTAGCAAAAAGTCTGAATTACAAAATACTCAAAATTTATTTTTATATTTTTCAAGTAATGTTGTTAAAAATTAAATGCACACATGGGTTTATTCAACATGTACTAAGCTCCAAAAATGTACAAAGTCGTATAGTTGGATGTTAGGGATGATGTAATGATCTGATAAACCAGACACTCCTAGATCTCAGATTATAGTCTGGTATGGGAGAAAAGAAATATAGTAAGTATCTGAAACAGACACATGAAAGAGACAAACACCACAGAGTAGGGGTTGGCAAACTTTTTTTTAAAGGGCTGGAGAGTAAATATTTCAGGTATGTGGGCCACAAGGTCTGTCACGACTACTCAACTTCGCTGTTGTTTTTCAAAAGTAACCACAGACAATATGTAAATGAATGGATATACTGTGTTCTAAAAAAAATATTTATTTACAAAAACAAGCAGTTGGTCTGCTGGCCATAGTTTACTCACCCCTGCCATAAAGCAGTGTTAATAAAGTGTTGCCAAAGAGAGATCCTCCTGGTTATCTCTTGATAAAGAGCTGACAATCAGCTCATTACTCATTTGAATATAGGTGAAATGCTTATTAAAATAACCTAATTACGCTGAACTTTTTCTTAGCTATACTCTGTTTACACCATTTACGTGCTAAGCTAAAGTTTTCTTCACAAATAATAGACAATAAAATTTTAATTCAGTCTTGATGAACAGCAAATTCAGAATGAGCTGTTTTATCTGTAATTCTATAGGGACAAGATCAGAAAAATAGAATGGTAAAACAGCTTAAAAAACAAAGACAAGCCCGGAAAGCATGGCCCCTGGATTCTCTGTCAGCCAAGAACTAAAACAATTTCCGAGGCCAATTCTTCAGACAGGGATTGGACTGGACTGTGGGACATAAAGTGATACTCGTGAGGAATGTGCCTCTTAGCTCAAGTAGATACAAGGGACTTAACAGGCAGCTTCTGTCCAGAGGTGAGATGAGAAGGCGGAGAGGATTGGGAGCTGGTTGAGTGGACATGGGGAATCGGGTGGAAAGGAAGAGTGTGCTGTCACAGTATGGGGAGAGCAATTAGGGTCATATAACAATATATGTATAAGTTTTTGTATGGGGGAAAAAAAGAACAAAGACAAGGCTTCAATGCTATAATGTTATACTGTTAACCTGCTATCAATAGTATAAAAAGAGAAAAAAATGCAGATCTATCTCTAAGATCATCTACTTCTCTATGGTTTAAGCCACAGTTATTTGCATCTAAAAGCACTACTGTATTACTGTATTACTTTAGCAGTGTAGGATCGCTACTTATAAAAGAACCAAAGGAAAGAGGATTTAGCATAGGTAATTGGCGGTTAAGAGTTGGGAAGAATCTTTCCATTATATTTGAGTAAGAGTCTAGTAATTTTCAAACAAAACACTCAACTTTAAACCTGGAAAGACAACAGAGAAGACAACAAAACTTTATTAAAGACTTGGAAAAATAAACATGGTTAGGGTTGCTTGATTATTGCTAAGAAAATTAAAGGATGACTTGGTAACTATTCTCAGCTACTGGATTGTTTCAACAGAACTAGTTAAGTCTCTCCTCCTTAGTCCCTCCATGCTGCTACAGTAATTTTAAAAATCAATTCTATACACTTAAATTCCTTCCTCTAAAACCAATGGCTTGTCACTAATATAAAAGAAAAGGAGTCATGGATGACTTGGGAACCCCATGGTTAAGCACTCAGCTGCTAACCCAAAGGTTCAAACCTACCAGCTGCTCCGTCGAAGAAAGATATGGGAGTCTGCTTCCATAGGATTTATAGCCTCAGAAACCCTTTGGGGCTCTTCTCTGTCCTACAGGGCCGCTGTAAGTCAGAAATGACTCGAGGCAATGGGTTTGGTTTTTTTGGTTTGACCTTTAATGCTCCGCTCTCTCACTTTCCTACATATCCTCTACTCCATCATTCTGTGCCATCTGACAATCTGAGTATAGCTCATACTTCACCCCCTTATCTCTATGTCTTGCCATCCATTGTTCTCTTCACCTGGAACGATCATTCTCTCTTACTTCTACCAGTTGATTCTCTTTGCCTCAAAGTCCAGCTCAAATGCCACTTTCTCCAAGAAGCCTTTCCTGTTTACCCCACCCACAATGAACTTCTCCTTCCTCTCTGTTCTCCCACTACTTTTTTCCTGATACTACTATGCAGATTTCAACTTCTGCTTTTATTATATATTTATAATATATAAACTTTGCCCCATTAGATTAGAAATACCATTACGGCAGGGACTCTCTGCCATAGTTCTTCCTTGCACCGTTTTTGCTTGCATTAAAAAGGCACTCCATAAATATGTGTTGAGGTGAAATACTCAAAGGAAAATCCTCACAGAACTGTTAACCAGTTCTTTATAATAAAAAAACTTAAATTTAAATTGAATTCAGTTTTGTTAGAAAATTTTAATTAACTGGAATACAGAAGGCGGGGGAATCTTCACAGGACAGCCTATTTTTTTTTTAAGTCTTAAGCGCCTTTGCCCCTTTGTGATGTATATAAGTAGGAACTCAAAATCCATTCCACAGGAATCACGACCTTGTCTAGGCTAAAGGACAATGAACTTGGAGACTAGAAAAGCTAAGGATAGCTAGGACAGAGGTTCATAATGGAGGCTGGATAGACGATAATATTAAAGTTATAGCATCAACTATCTAGCAACCATCTGTCCAAAAAATAATCACAGCATACAGTGATGAGGCTGATAAGTAAATCAAGAAGATGAGCATCTACGCTGTTTACCTGTACAATATGACATACTCATGCCCTTGTTTTCTGGAGAGCCTGTAGGCTGGTGTCACCCTAGTTATAGCAAGGAGAGACTTCAGGAGCAAGGACAGTCTGTTGTATACCGTGTAGGAAACTTTGATTTCTTTATCACACCTGAGGAGCACAAAGACACTGTCAGCATTCTCTATTAAACTAATGTAAGGCAAAGAACAGAAGAGCATTTGATACAGAGCTATTACTAAGTTCCATCTATGGACTGAGATTAATTTGGTAACATTATTCATGAATTCTGATGGAATAAAATCTGCTTTATAGTTCAAATACACCATTCAGAAACTATTACAATCAAAAGAGATGGTTGCAAATTATGTGCTGGAACTGTATGACATTAAATTTATTATTAAAACATGTTCTGAACAAAAGGCATAATAAGAGTTCTTTGTCAGTTTATCAACAGGTTGTTAAAGTAAACGAAAGATTTTCTTTTTCATGAAGTAGACACAGGCAGATGAGCACTAAAAGGCACCCAATATATTTTTTCTAGCTTTGAAGCGGTTATCTTTCTAAGAAATAAAATAACACACTTAAAAGCAGTAATTCAATACTTCAATTATATATATCGAAGATGCAAACATAATTTCAATGGACCATTTTATGAGTGGTCTACCTCTATACATCTAACAGGAAATCCACAGAAAAGTCTGTTTTGTACTATAATTTTGTATTGTAACCTGGCAACTGCTTTCTATTTAAGAAAGAAAAATAACTCCACATCACACATAATTACCACTACGATTTTTCTTTAGATGTGCTTTTTTTCTCAATTTTTCCTATATACTCTTCTTGAAAACTAAAGCGTCAGACAGGAGGTAAGCTAATCTGCCTTGAAACAAGAAAATGGGGGAGGGAAATAACATGCATTTCCAATCCATGACCAACAATCTTTAAAAAGGAGTAGTGAGGGGAAATCTTTTTGGATGTCTGCCACTTAGAAAACAGACAAAATAGAGTAGTCATGTCACAAGAACTTGGCTGGGATTTAATCAGAGAACTGTCTGTGCTCTGGGAAAACAACAAATCCTTTTCAGCTTTCTCGGCTGTTCCTTTCCCTTTGGTGACTGAGTCTCTCTGTACTGGCACTCCCTCTGAAGGTCATTGCTATGCCTAGGCTGGAAGCCAAGCATGAAGCCAATTGTAGCAAAGACCAAATGGCTTTGTTAAGTGGTCAGAATGCCCTCCATGACTTTAATAACAAAGCCCTGCTTTTCATATGGTGTCATCTGCTTTAATCCCTCAGCTACCACAACCGAGGACCCTAACACAAAAACACTTACTTTTCATTCATTTCAAGACACCAAATTTCCAGCTCCATGGAATCTCCCTGTAGATGAGACAATTGAAAAACATTTCGGTTTTATTATTATTATTAATTACCCTTTTTCTCCTTATTACAAAGAACTATACAGTCACTACAAAAATATTAAAAATTATAGTTAAGTAAAAAGAAAAAAAATGGATATACCCTTATAATTCAACCAGCCATTTTTCTAAAAAAAAAACACTATGTATGTCACCCTATACATACTGTTTCTATCATTTGCTTTTTTCTTAATAAATACATCATATTTTCCTTATAATTAAAAAATCTACCTCATTTTTAATGGTTGCATAGTATTCCACCAGGTGAAATCTATAATTTTATCAGCCCCTCTATTCTTGGACATGTAGGCTGTTTCAAATTTTTCACTACTATAAACAATATTGTGATAAACAGCCTTGAGGCTAAAATTGTACCCATCCTGAATGTCTTTTCTTTTTTTTTGAAGGCTTACAGAACAAATAGTTTCTCATGAAACAGAAGTACACATGTTGTTTTATGACATTGGTTAACAACCCCACAACATATCAACCCTCTAATTTCTCAAACTTTTTTTTTTTTGGTGA